ATTCTTAATAAACAGCTTACTTTTTTAGGGAGAAAAGATAGGGTACTAGGTTTGCTAATTGTGCTAAATTATTACTATAAGAGATGATGGAAAAGATACTTTCATATAGAGAGGAAAGAAGGAAACAATTCTTCTACTCTTTTAATTCTCCAGAGGTCAAAATGATTTCACATGGAATTCAGTGGGGTTTTTTTTTAAGTAAGCCGCAGAGAAACATATTGAAATAATCACTTCACAGTTTCACAGCAACTGTGCTAGATTCTCTATTTCTTGCCCACAAAGATAATCTCATACAATATCAACACATAGAGGAAGGAGCGTTTTAATAGAAGAGTAAGCTTTTTTTTTGGATAAGAATGTAAGTTAGATCTAAATTGCTAGTGACATCAATAGATGCACAGCTAAATATTTTCCATTATTTTGGGTGTGGGTGGGAAGGAGCTTGAAAAAAACTAATTACAGAAGCTAAAATTCTGCAGCTCAAAATATGGTTTTGTTGCTAGATTTCAGCTCAATATCTGGAGATTTTTAATGGTTGTAAAATGCAAGTAGAAAGATCAGAAAATATATTTTTATTGGAGCAGAGGTAATGAAGGAAATAATTATCCCTTCTCATTTTTGTATAGATACTATTTATATAAGAAAATCCATGTATGTGAACTGTATTTATATAATTAATGCTATATTTGTTCTGGCCCTTAACATACCTTTTTCAGAAAGTCTGTTGGCATTAATTAGCTGTTTGAGAAACTGAATGTCGAATGCCGTTTGTATCAAGCTATGTATCAGTGAGGGATGTTTTAGATTTCTGACATCGTTAGTACCTTATTTTTGTAAAAAACAAAACAAAAAACTATCCAGCCAAGTTAAACATATGTAAGTTTAAACTTGAGACATATAGTAGAGTAAGTAAAATAATTGATTCCAATGATTGGAACAAATAGGATTCTTCTGTATGATTTTGCACAATTAGTTATTTCACAATTAGCAGTTCTGATAGTGAAAAAAGATGAGAGATAGGAAAGACATATGTACTTTGCACATATAGTCATTTCCCATTCCTATATAAAGAAGATTTTTCCAGTGCTATATGCATGGTTCCCAACCCCATGTTTAAAACTATGCAGAAAAACTAGATGTGAGATTTAGTCCTGAAGATCAGGACTTTTCAACCTTTTCACCCATTGTACCACTTTTAGGATATGGCAACATCTGTTCAAAATTACAATGGCACTGAAAAAAGTTCCCCCCAAGCCACAGCCGAGCAAGACACTGCCTGCTGTCTGAGGTTTTCATTGTTGTGAGCATTTCTGTTGAGGATTGGCAGCGGGGGTGGGGTGGGGGATGTTTGGTTTTTATTCCCCCCGTCTGCTGGGTGGTTGCAGCAGGTTTTGGTCAGTTCACATGACCCTGGGACACTGACCGTCATAAATATGAATCAGTTGCCAAGCATCTGAATGTAAATCACAAGACCCTAGAGATGCTGCAACATTCCAGCAGATCGGCGCTTCTTCTGGGCTCAGCAGAAGCGCCAGGATCAGTGCTGCTTTCCAGCTGATTGGTGCTTCTTCAGGGCTCAGCAGAAGCACCAGGACCAGCGCCGAGCTCCTGCTGGACCCTGGTGCTGATCCTGGTGCTTCCACTGAGCCCTGACAGCCCTGAAGAAGCGCCGATCAGCTGGAAAGCGGCACTGATCCTGGCACTTCCGCTGAGCCCTGACAGCACTGCAGCTCCAGCCATCTCTCGCTCAGGCTTGTGCGGTGCTGCCACCGGTTTAGCTCAGTCCCCTCCCCCGCTACTTTTCTAGGATGGTTGTGTACCACCTGCCAGGTGCCAATGTACCACAGGTGGTACCCGTACCACTGGTTGAAAAGCCCTGCGTGAAGATAATACATGGAATACTGTCCAACCGAAAAATCTTATTGAAATTAGCTTCAGTAAGTTTCAGTACAATACTTGTTAATAGCTAAGTGTTTTCAAATGTTTAGTACTTCAGTAGAAAAAAATGGTTAAAATAAGTTATTTAATAAATAGAATTTTACCGAAAGTGTTTCTTAATGTATAATTGCACATATATGTGTGCGTGTGTGTGTATGTGTAGTGCAAGCGTGTGCGTCTGTGTATCTGTATCTGTTTCACCAGTATGTATATGTATCCATTGTCAGCTGTGATTATTCTCAAGATTATACATGCTAAAAATGTTCTAAATACTTGAATTTAATATTCAGTGAACTCTTGGTTAAGAATTATCTGATTTAATGAGTTATTTTATTGGAGTCATATTAATATTTCATTGGACAATGTACTTCTAATATAGAATTTTTTTCAAGTAAATTAGAGTCTAATCTAATTTGCTATGTCTTCTAATGAGAGTAATGTGTATTAATATAACTGTAAAGAAAATTGTGTTTTGCATTATGTTACCAGAATTTATGTTGCAAACATGTATCCCTGTGAACTTTAAATATATATTGCTGGCTAAACCATTTCATATCACATTTAGCCAGCAATCTTATGGACAATGATTCCTGAGTACATTCAAATGAGGACAATGCAATTTACTTCCATGTATAGAATTGTGTTGCCTAAGATTCCCCTACCTCTATTTCAAACAATTTGAGTGTGTAATAATACTAAAATAATCTGAAATCAAATACAGTGAAGGAAAAATTATTTCATCCCCTGCTGATTTTGTACTTTTGCCCACTGACAAAGAAATGATCAGTCTATATTTTTAATGATAGGTTTATTTTAACAGTGAGAGATAGAATAACAACAAAGAAATCCAGAAAAACACATTTCAAAAAAGTTATAAATTGATTTTCATTTAATGAGTGAAATAAGTATTTGATCCCCTATCAGTCAGCAAGATTTCTGGCTCCCAGTTCTCTTTTATATAAGTAACGAGCTGAGATTAGGAGCATTCTCTTAAAGGGAGTGCTCCTAATCTCAGCTTGTTACCTGTATAAAAAACATCTGTCCACAGAAGCAATCAATCGGATTCCAAACTCTCCACCATGGCCAAGACCAAAGAGCTGTCAAGAATGTCAGGGACATGATTGTAGACCTACACAAGGCTGGAATAGGCTACAAGTCTATTGCCGAGGAGCTTGGTGAGAAGGTGACAACAGTTGGTGCAATTATTCACAAATGGAAGAAACACAAAATAACTGTCAATCTCCCTCGGTCTGATGCTCCATGCAAGATCTCACCTCGTGGAGTTTCAATGATCATGAGAACGGTGAGGAATCAGCCCAGAACCACACGGGAGGATCTTGTCAATGATCTCAAGACAGCTGGGACTATAGTCACCAAGAAAACAATTGGTAACACACTACGCTGTGAAGAACTGAAATCCTGCATTGCCCGCAAGGTCCCCCTGCTCAAGAAAGCACTTGCATAGGCCCATCTGAAGTTTGCCAATGAACAGCTGAATGATTCAGAGGAGAACTGGGTGAAAGTGTTGGGGTCAGATGAGACCAAAATCGAGCTCTTTGGCATCAACTCAATTCACTGTATTTGGAGGAGGAGAAGGAATGCTGTCTATGACCCCAAGAACACCATCCCCACCATCAAATATGGAGATGAAAAAATTATGCTTTGGGAGTGTTTTTCTGTTAAGGGGACCGGACATCTTCACCGCATCAAAGGGACAATGGACGGGGCCATGTACCATCAAATTTTGGGTGAGAACCTCCTTCCCTCAGCCAGGGCATTGAAAATTGGTCGTGGATGGGTATTTCAGCATGGAAATGACCTAAGACATATGGCAAAGGCCACAAAGAAGTGGCTCAAGAAGAAGTACATTAAGGTACTGGAGTGGCCTAGCCAGTCTCCAGACCTTAACCCCATAGAAAATCTATGGAGGGAGCTGAGGGCTCGAGTTGCCAAACGTCAGCCTCAAAACCTTAATGACTTGGAGAGGATCTGCAAAGAAGAGTGAGACAAAATCTCTCCTGAGATGTGTGCAAACCTGGTAGCCAACTAGAAGAAACGTCTGACCTCTGTGATTGCCAACAAGGGTTTTGCACCAAGTACTAAGTCATGTTTTGCGAAGGGGTCAAATACATATTTCACTAAATAAGATGCAAATCAGTTTGTAACTTTATTGAAATGATTTTTTCTGGATTTTTTTGTTGTTATTCTGTCTCTCACTGTTAAAATAAACCTACCATTAAAATTATAGATTGATCATTTCTTGTCAGTGGGCAAATGTACAAAATCGGCAGGGGATCAAATAATTTTCCCCCTCACTGTAATAGTGCATCATTCTTTGCCAGAAGAATGGAAATAACAGTTTATTAGAATCTGAGTAAAATGGCTCCCTGTAATCTTGACTGATTTTCTCTTCCATAACTTGAAAGAACTATGGAAAGTAATTTCACAATAGTGTAAAGGATCAGAGTTGTGTTGAAAGTACAGTTGGATGTATGTGCTTTAAAACTTGATATTCTAAGCACAGCTTTGGAATCTTTGATGTTCTCTCAGCTTGGTTATTTTCTGGCAGACATTTCATTACCATACTACATAACATTATCATTCTAGAAGGGAGTGGAGTTTGCTCTTTTTTATATGCTAGTGGCTTTCCCTATCACTTCTTTTCCCAGATGGTGTCTATATAAAATACATACATGATTTTTGTCTTTTTGTTCCTACTTAGCCCCTTCTTCTGTAGGTTGAGGGACCTCTGGAACAGCATGGAATTTAATGTGGGATGCTGAGCTGATAAATTTAGATGAGTAATTCTGAACCTTCTGAGAGAACTGAAATATTTTCCACTCATTGGGGCTTTCTGATGTCTATTATTTTATTAGTCTGTATTTACCAACATTAATAAATACTTCAAACAAAGGACTGTTGATGTAATTATTTCTAACATTTATCCAAATCAAGAATGTTCAAGAATTGACCTATCATCCTGTTTTTGGTATCATTTATGTTATCAAAAGTTGACATCTGAGGCTGTAATGTCCATAGTTAGAAAGAAAGGAATGAATGTTCCTACTATTTCTGAGAACTGAGGTTTTTTTTTTATCATTTCCGATTTCTCCCAGATTACGTTGGAAAGATGAACAATTGGTTGTAAACCTGAGTCAAATTCACTTGGTGTTTCCTGAGATAATCAGTGAATCCTAGAATTTTCCACATGTCTTACTGGCAACTAATTGGACAACAGTTATGAACATTTACCCTGCTTAGCTGAAAAGCATAGCTGTCATGTGCATGCACAAACTTGGCATATAAATACATAATTATCTGTGTATTTGTAAACACTGTTAAGCATCATCAAAGCTTTGACTTTGAACTTAATTTAAAGCCTAGAGGTCTCTTAAGATGTGAGTGTGTTGTATGTGAGACAGATGGATATTGAGTGTGCATACAGTATTGCAATAATTGCAGTAACAACTGTGTTGCGAAAATTGCAAAGGGTTGAAATATAGCCTCAGATACTCAACTACCTTAGAAGGAGTTAACAGGTCAGCTCCCTTGGTCATTCTCCAGTTGCTTCCTTGCCTTTAAGAGCAAAAAAGAAAACGATAACATTGTGCCTGGACCTGTCTCTGCAGAGTTTTAAGGTACTCCTGGGGTTTTACAGCTAAATGTAAAGCAAGTTGGAACATGTTCTGCTCCTGATATTCTTGTTTTTCTTTCAACCCTTTCAGTGCCCTGCAGGAATCATTAAATCAAAACTTCATGCTGATCGTCACCCATCGAGAAGTCCAGCGGGAGTACAACCTCAACTTCTCAGGAAGCAGTACCATCCAGGAGGTGAGCTCTGTCTCGCAGCTGAAGAATAAATGTCGCTCATTATAACTAGTGTCAGCTTTGTTAAAGAGGGCTTATGTATTCAGGCTGCATACTTCCTTTCATGTTTCATTATTAGGTTTTTAGCTTTTAATTAAGTGGATGATGAAAGATTACTGTAGGTACATCAGATGGTGTAACCGACATATCACATTTGCATTAGTTTCACCCCAAAGCGGTTGTGTGTTTGTGAGCATGCTGCCAAAGGTGAGGTAGGGCTATTGGATAGGGCTTCTTCTTCCTTTATTTAAAATTGTACACAGTTTTCTTACATACTTAGGTATTTCTTGCATCAATTGCATTGCTACTTGTCATAATCTTGATTAGGAATGGGACTGCAGAAGAATGATTTCTGTTTAAAAACAATTTCATTGTCATTCCGTAAAACAGCCACCAAGGGGTGATGTTGCAAAGAAGAGTTCCTTGCTAATTTGTCCTGAAAAGACAGAAGCGCTTCCTAAAGTAGTAAATTGCCTTTAACTAAAAATTCAATATTGTCATAACCTTGTTGTATATCAAAAATTGAGCAATCAGATTTTTGAAGTATTTTTTTTTGCTTACTAATTCCAACCTATTTATATACATGAGGATTCCAATTGCGAGTGTTCCTTTTGAATCTTTTTTTCCCTTTCATTATTGTATGAAAGATCTCCCCCTCCTCATTTAACACAGTCGCTGGCATCTCAAGAAGCCAGTGCATGTGTGAAATGATCTGTATTATGATCACTTTTTTTTAATACTATCAATTTTTATATTGATGTTGTTACGGTATTAGCAGCGTGCTTCGTTCATGGGAGTAGCTGCTGGAATGGGATAGCTAAAAGGATTATATGGTTTGGACATTAGCCTCTTTTCATTTGTTTTTATTTGAATTCATTTTAGTACCAATGATATTAAATCAATATAGCGCCTCCTTTGCATAATTTTTTGACTCTTACTAAGATTACCATGAAGAATATGAACCTATTGGCTAAAATATATTTTTGTCTCTTATGTAGTTCTTTATATAAAAATCATTACATATGTACATACATACATGCATGCATACATCTTGAAGCCCCCCAACAACCTATATATTATAACATATATATGTATATGTACCTATGTATATATGTATGGGTGTGTGTGTGTGTATACAGTTAATTGCAACATGTAAACAGTAAACAATTACAGCTGCTTGTGATGTAGTTACAAATGTTTACTGCAATTGTTTTGCAAAAAATATGAAAATTTCAAATTTTGATGAAAATCAATTCCGTTATATATAAAATAGACATGATCCCCCTATTTATCCAAGGCCCATAGAATTGTCTCCCATAAAATTGTCTCCCATTCCTAAATATAAAATGAAATTACTCGGCCCTTCAAGCTTTGAATTGGAATCTTATCCACTTTCAATAAATATATGTCATTAATTTCAGGGGCAACAGTTCTGGATTGACTTGCTTTATTACAAATTTTGTGAGTCAGTATGGCTGAATTGCATTTCTATACTTTTGCTCATTAGTTAAAGCTAAACAACAGTGTATCCTCCAGAAAATAGCACCATGATATTCAGAGTAGATCTACTCCATCATAAACTATTTCCAATACTCTAGAATTTTGAGAGTTGTTTATGTGCAAAACGAGTCATACTTGTGGGTTGTATTTTCTTTCAGTTCAAAAATTGAATTTAATCTTTGATTGAAGTGTTAAACTGACCACCTACTAACACTCAGTTTCTGAAGTTAGTTCTAAATTTTCTTCTTTTATTCAAATATATTTTTTTAAATTAGGAAGTTATATGTACTCCGGTCAGTAGTAATTTAATTTTATGTGCAATTTTCACTTATCAACCACCAGAGGGCAGGAAGGTCTATTCAATTATTTTTCCAAAATGCTAGCCAGTATTTTCAAATTAGCTTCCTGTGTCTTAACAAAAAGAAGTATAATGGCTGAGTTATTGTTTGATATGCAGATAATTGGCATATTGTGTGAAAGGAGACTTAATTTCATCCTTTAAAATTAAACAGTGAGATTTTAAAAGATATAAAATATTCATTAATGCTCAGTGATTATAAAGCAGTGGCATATATTTATTTTACCTTTATTACTGTTTCGATGGGAAATACAGCAAATACTTTGCAAATCGAGTTAGCCATACTGACAAGTTGAAATGTTTAAGCAGCATTAGCGCAATCTACTTGCACCTGATAGACTATGCAGAAAGATTCAAAATGTCTGCATCAATTATTAAAAGAAACACTTAATATTCCAGAAATGTTTCAGGTCTTACCACAACTATTGGATATAACTATCTCTCTGCTTCTTTGATTTAGGCTATTGTATTGCTGCAGTGCTTGCAAACAGTACTAATACACATTTTTTTCTTGTCTTTTCCAAACAAAATAGTTCATACGAATAACATTATTTTGCTGGTTTCAAGTCAATTACTAAAGAAATATGCATTGAAAAGGTACTAAAATGAAGACAGGTATCTAAATAAGAATAACAAGTTGAGAAAGAAATTAGTGAATATCTTTACGAATTGCTTTTTCTTGCAATTTGGTCTATGGAGGTATAAACAGAAAGGTAGCGACCATATTGTTTTCAAATAATGGATGCTTTTGTGTTTGGGAAATCCCTCAAGTTTAGTACAGTACAGACTTGTAATTCAAAATTGAATCCACATATTATATTCATGTCATCCTATATTCTTTCTCACCTTCCCCCCATGCAGCAGCCAGATTTAAGATGGACTGAATTTGAACTGTTTTTTCTGGTGTTAAATTTTTATTATCTTTTCTTCCACTGGTATAACAAGATTTAAAACATAACCCACACTCATAAAACCAAATAATGAATGCAGGTTATCATCCCCTTTTGTGAACCTTTCTAAAATGGAATTAAATGGGTTGAAGAACATAAAAAGTTATTACTAAACGTTAATTCTGCTGGGTACATCACAGATTAAATTGTATCACAGATCTATTCTGTTATATCACTGACTTAGGATCGAATAATTATCACGGACAATTTTGTTTCTTTAAAAAAATTAGTTTAAATTCCACAATACTCTAGTGATGAATTTTTAAAACATGAATACGTAAGTTTATAAAATGGGACTTCAAAACAGTTTTAATGAGATTTGATTTTAAAACACTTAAAAGATTATTCAAAATAGTTCTTTAACACCACCATTCCCAAACTTGCTATGTGAGGCATTAAATTATTTCCCTTGGACATAGAAAATATTGCTATAATGTACTATTATTAACATATTTGAACAGACACAACTAGTTTCTTTGATTCTATTGCGACCTTTAAATTATGGTGTTGCAGAAATAAAGCCAATTTCTCTGCCATTAGAATAAGCTGATGACCTTGATATACATCCTTATCACTTATGTCAACCTTTGCGCAAAAGATAAGGTATCACATGGTGATGTGGCAATGAATGCTATGTTTAACATGATTCAACTGCAGCTAAATGATTTATTTTAACATAGATATTCCACAGTGATTTGTAGAGATTTTTTAATACCAGTAAAAGAAAAAGAAATGGCTCTAAAATCAACCAGACAATCCCAAAAGCATGTTTTATAAAGATGTTTTGATTGAAATTGAATCGGTACATTTTTACTCAGACTTTTTGAGAATCTAAGAAGTAAAGCACCAGGGAGACTGTATAAAGCAGTGGTGGCGAACCTATGGCACGTGTGCCAGAGGCGGCACTCAGAGCCCTCTCTGTTGGCACGCGCGCCACCACCGCCAGCAGCAGGTCCGTCAGGCTGCCACCGCCGCCCAGAGCAGGAGCCTCACCAACCATTGTCAATTGGTGGACTGGAAGAAAAGGGAGGGGGAAGCATTTTACATGCGTGCATGCGCGCACGGGGCTGCGAGCACGCACACGCTGCAAATGGGGCGGGGCTAGTGCCTGCATGACACTCACTAGCCGTGCCCCATTCTTGTGTGGTACAGCGCCTTGCATCTGCATCCTGTGGCATGGCGGCAGCCATTTTTCCGCCTTGCAACACAGTGGCCCATTTTTGCACCCCTGGTTTTTGCATGGCAGAGGAGGCCTTCAGAGGCGCCTCCCTGCCCCCCCCCCGAAGGCACCACAATGCTGATGCGGCCCTGGCACTTTGTGATAAATAAGTGGGTTTTGGGTTGCGGTTTGGGCACTCGGTCTCTAAAAGGTTCGCCATCACTGGTATAAAGTATAAGACATATTGAGCTTGAAATTGGCAGCTTCCTTTAAGATTATTACTAACATAGTCTGCAGCTCCACAAAGCGTTAAATGAATATAAAATATAAAATAAAGCACCCTCCACTCATGTGAGTAGAACTTCACGTGCAAGCACAAGTGCCCGCCACTCACCAAGTGGAGCTTCCCATGCCATCACTTCCCATGCGCTTGCCTGCCATCACTAGTAGGGCCTGGTTTGAAACAGGCCACGGCCCAGTAGTGGGCTACAGCCCAGGATCTCCATGCTCTTCCTTTCTCTGTTATTGCTGTTATATTGGTGGTTGTATGCTTTTACGTTTTTTAAAATTGTTTTGTAGTTTGGATATTGTTGTAATTGTTGTGAGCCGCTAAAAGTCACTGACATGAGATGAGCAGTTACAATGAATGAATAAATGAATGAATTTAGCATAGTAGTCCTAGGGTGAGTGGATTTTTACTTTATGACGGGCATCATTAGTTTTATATTAGTGCCCAGGATATGAAAAAATTGTGTTTTGTCAAACTAGCTGATTTCTAGAAATATACTTGTCAACTCTACAACAAACCTGGCTGCAAGCTAATGGCTATTTCAGCTGGGAATGAAGAGATATACAATGGGATCTCCGGAGAGTGTCTGGATAGGAACCAGTTGCTATTGACTCAGAGTTTGGTTTTTAATTTTGGAGAATAAAGAGAGCATTTCATACTGGAATGGGACAACTCATCATGGCCAACTCACTGTGGCCAAACTACCAT